GGCATGGAAACTTAAAGCCGAGTGGCAAACTGCTGACAGGTCAGAAACAACCTCCATGCTTGCTACAGGAGCCCAGGAGCTTTCTTCTGAAACAAGAGCTCAATTGCAGGCACGTGGCCTCCAGGCCACATGGGCCTCAGCTAGATTGTCTTACTCTCTCAGAGGCCTCTCGATGGTTATTTTTGGCGCGCTTTTAGTTGCGGCTGCCATTTTGTGACAGCCACCATTTTGTCTCCTTTTACTGAACTTTTCAGCTGAACTTGGGGAGGCCAAGCTTGTCCACAAAAGGATGCAATGCTTTGGCAATTGACCCCCCCTCATCTGGGTTCTAACCATCCTCCAATTGGGCTTCTTCAGTGGATTTACAGTGCTTGGGGGGGGGCATTTCACACTAAATAGAGCCCTCAGAGGCCTGTTGCCTCAGTCGTTTGATCAATTGATTTTTCCAAACACTATGGCAGACAATTCCCTTCCAACATCCTTACAGGACACCATAAAGCCCCCCACCAAAAAGAAACACAAGGCCTCTACTGAGGCAGTGGGGAAGAGCATATTGAAGGCCAAAACACAACCTTCCAAATGATCTAGATCAGTTAACAGAGAGACCACCAGTCATCATCACACCTTGGAGGAGGATCCTCCAGGTCAAGGTTAGTTACCCCAGGGCAACTGACCACCACTATATCTGGAGGGTCCATATTTGAGCCCCTATCTACCCATTGTAATTTAGCACCAGGGGCCTGGTCTCCCCCTAGGGAAGTGGCACAGACTGAACATATCATATCAGGGCTACATCTAGGGACACGGGGTAACTGCACAAGGCCCCACTCTATCTGGGCCTCAGGCCACTTTTATGCCTACTCCAGCAGGCCTTCACCCCCCTGAATCATAGTCATTAGGACCTGAGCATTTTCAGGTTATGATAGCTCAGGCCTTTGCCCAGTTCATGGCCTCCTCTGTCTCCCAGCATCCCCCTCAAGTTCGCTCAGCACCTCCATGGTGCTTTCTTTGCCCTGAATCATCAGACCTCACAGAGGATGTTTCCTTGGACTCAGAATCTGCAGGCTTCGACCCTTCAGGCCTATCCAATGACAAAGGTACCTCAACATCAGATCCAGCTCCACATGTTGATCTTTTTGACCATTCCCTTTTCAACTCCTTACTATCAAGGCCTGCACGACAGCCAACATCACTCTGGAACAGGAGACCCCAGCTCCATCTGCATCAAAGGGTCCTAATCCACTGTACGCTGAATCACAGAAGCATGTCCCTTGTCCCCCCTTCTTCTGTGACACAATGCAGAAGCAGTGGGATAACTTGGGTTCTATCCCCAATCTGGGATCTGAAGAGTAAAATTTATTCAATGTGGCTCCCTCTTTCACCTCCTTATTGGAGGTTCCTCAAATTGATGAGCCTCTGAATTCTCTGTTTTCCAATACAAACATCCCAGGGGACATAACCGAGGCACTTAAGGCAGAGGACAAAAAAATTAAAGCTGCCTTACGCAGATCTCACCAGACATCGGCCTGGGCAATCAAGGCCTTCACATCCATGGCCTTCTTCACTTGGGCTTCAGTACTGTGGCTGCATGAACTCCAGGACATGATTCCCCCTGATCAGGTTTGAGTTCACCAAAACCTGGGTAACTTGGTGGCCACATCCCAGTACATGGCTGATGTCTCCCTACATGCCACCAGATACTCTTCATGGGCCATTGCGGTGGACATGTCAGCCCACAGACTTCTGTGGCTTAAGAACTGGTTGGCAGACCTTAAAGCCAAGTGGCGCCTTGCTACTAAGCCTTATACAGGGGGGCATCTTTTTGACACGGCCCTTGATCCTTACCTAATAGAAGGCAAGGACAAGTGTAAAACTCTCATTAATACCACTAAAAAGGGAGATAAGCGCTGAGGGGCCGGGTCATCACAGAACTACAATCGTAGGCAGCCCTTTCAGCCAGCTTCTACCTGGAACTGGGCCCAGGCCTCTTGCACCTCCTACCAGAGACCGGAGTACCAGCAAGACCATTCCACATACATACACCGACCACAAGTCCAGGCCAAGCGGCCCTTTTGAGGCGCGGGAGGATGCTTCTTCAAACAAGGCAAGTGATCCCACAGGTTCCCCTCTTATAGGAGGCCAACTGTCCCTTTATTCTGACATATGGGCAGCCACTACTACGGACTCATGGGTCTTAAACACTGTTACTCAAGGTCTGATGCTGGAATTTTGGTCCAGTCCATCAGATTGGTTCCGGTCTTGCCCCGTTCCCACGAACAGGACTAGAGCCATAGCTCACATTTTACAGATACAGGCCATAGAACTAGTACCGCAGGAGCAGGAAAGATGGGGGTTCTACTCAAATCTTTTCATCATTCCCAAGTCTTCGGGGGGCTGGAGGGCAATCTTAGACTTAAAAGGTCTAAATTACTATCTGATGTACAGGAAGTTCAAGATGCAGTCACTACAGTCAATCTTGGGCAGCATCAGAAAAGGGGACTTCCTTACATTAATAGACCTGACTGAGGCATATTTGCATACCCCTATTCTCCCTGGGCATCGCAAATTCCTCAGGTTTAGTTATGCCCACCCGCACTACCAGTACAGGGTCTTACCATTTGGCCTCTCCTCAGCACCTAGAGTGTTTACAAAGGTACTGGCAGTACTGGCCGCCCATCTGAGACAATCTCCAATCAGAGTTCAGTGTTATCTGGACAATATATTAATACAGTCCTCCTCCTTCCAGAGTGCTCGGTCAGACCTTGCCCTCGCTATCAGAACCTTTCAGGAGCATGGGTTTTCTGTCAATTTCCAGAAAAGCCATACTGTGCCCTCAACCCGGCTCCTACACCTAGGGGCAATCATAGACATGAGCAATTGTACAGTTTATCTATCACAGGACCATCGGGACAGCATTAAAGCCTTTGTCTATCAGATCTGAAGATACAAGGTGGTCACATTAGCCTTGTTATCACAGTTCCTGGGGAAGATGGTATCCTTTATAGAGATTGTTCCGTGGGCACGCCTTCATGCCCGGGAACTGCAGTGGTTTCTTCTTCCATTTCAGAGGCTACACTAGCGCTTCCAACCAGAAGGTTCAAGTTCCGCATCTGGCATTGAACTCCCTTTGATGGTGGGCTTCCCCAGCACTGTCATGGGACACAGAGTTCAGAGAACCAGCCAGAATCACCCTCACCACAGATGCCAGCCTATTCGGCTGGGGAGCACACCTCCAGTCACATTGGGCTCAGGGTCGATGGTCGCAGAAGGATTTGAAAAACAATATAAACTGGTTGGAACTCAGGGCCATACATCTGGCTCTACAACATTTCAGCAACATAGTAGTGGGACAGCATGTCCTGGTACTTACTAACAACATTGCTGCCAAGGTCCATGTCAACAGACAGGGGGGGACAAGGTCCAGACCTCCCATGCAGGAGGCCCAGTTGTTGGGGTCTTGGGTGGAATTGAATCTTGCTTCCATCAGGGTGGATCACATATCTAGAGTGACCAATCAATAGGCAGACTCATTAAGCAGAGCCACTGTGGACCATGCCGAATGGCGACTGGATCCGGAAGTATTCAGGGAGATCATGGACAGATTTGGTTCCCCAACCTTAGATCTTTTTGCTTCCCCAACCAACTCCCAACTCTCAAGATTCTTTTCCGGGTTCGTGTCTCCAACAGCAGAGGACAAATACCCTCCGCAGCCCCTGGCCCGGGGAACAGCTTTATGCCTTTCCTCCCTTGCCACTTCTTCCTGCCACGATCCGGAAGAAACTACACGAATGGGCAGAGATCCTCCTGGTTGCACCACATTGGCCAAGATGTCCATGGTTCATTGACCTGATGGAGCTCTCCGTCTCCCCTCCGTGGAGGATCCCAGCAGGTTGTATTTCCCTTACTCAGGGGGAACTCCAGCACCCGGACCTGCAGTGGCTCCAGCTAACCATTTGGCACTTGAGAGGTGGGCCTTGAGCCGAGACTCATATTCATGATTCAACAATCCAGGCACTCCTCGACGAATAGAATATATGATGCCACATGGAGGAGCTTCTGCACTTGGTGCTCAGGTCATAAGATGGAGCTCTCGGCTATTTCTGTGCTGATTGTGTTGGAATTTCTGATGGATGGGTTGGACAAAGGGCTATCCCGGAACACCATCCATAGAAAGGTGGCAGCTCTTGCTACGGTACTCACGTGTGACAATGCCGCTCCCCTGACACACCACCCTATGGTTCATTCCTTTTTAAAGGGAGCAACCAATGCCAAGCCACCGGCAGTACACCGATACCTCTCGTGGAACATTCACCAGGTCTTACAGGCACTCGTTTCATCACCCTTTGAGCCTATTGCCACATGTTCGCTTAAACTATTATCTATGAAAGTGGCATTCCTTGTGATGATCACATCGGCCAGGTGAATTTTGGAACTGGCCACTCTTTCTGTCAGAGAGGACCTGTGTATTTTCCATGTGGACAGGGTGACCCTCAGACTAGACCCTTCCTTTGTGCCCAAGGTAAATTCCTTGTATCATAGATCCCAGGAGGTGGTTTTACCAGATTTCTGTCCTACCCCGTCCAATAACTTTGAGAAGCAGTGGAACACACTTGACATTTGCAAGGCCCTGCAACATTACATTAAATGGACTTCGGCCTTCCATAGGTCCGAGACATTGTTTGTATCCTTTCAACTTTCATTCATGGGCCAGAAGGTCTCTTCCTTGATAATAGGGAGATGGATTAGGACCTGCATTGCCCTAGCAAACCAAACTCAATCACTGATGGCTCCTAGACATATCACGGCCCATTCCACCCAGGGTGCTGCTACTTCGGCGGCTTGGGTGACCCCGGCATCTACAGGGGAGATTTGCAGGGCAGCGACATGGTCCTTGCCCTCGTCCTTTGTCTGTCAGTATAAGATTGAAAAATATGCCTCTCAGGGATATGGTCTCAGGGTGTTGCAACAAGTGTTGTCATTTAGCGGGACCCAGGCCCAAACTGATTTCCCCCCTTAGGGACGCAGGGCTTTGGTATTTCCCATTTGTGGATTCTCCATCCAATCATGCTGGAGAAGGGGCGTTGTCTTACCTGAATGCCTTTTCTCAGCATGATGATGGAGAATCCACTCCCTCCCAACTAGGGTCAGTTTGGCCCTGGTTCCAATATTAGGAAAGTACACGTGTCGGACTAACGTCTGTGTATTGCCTTAGTCTCAAACTGGGGTGCTATGGCACAGCAGAGGCGTATCGACACTTCAGACTTAGTCTTATTGGAGCAGGATTAAGACAACCCATTTGTGGATTCTCTATCATGCTGAGAAAAGGCGTTCAGGTAAGACAACGCCCTTTTATATCTCTGAATCACTTTTTTCAAAGTATTGTTATGGTGGGCTAAGGTCTTCATAAACTACATCCGAATAATAGCAAGGTAAGTATCATGATATCACAAATTCTTTTTAATTTAATTTAATTTTTAATTACTTATGCCAAAACCCTTACCACATTAGCTATTATTGAGTAATTTAAAAAGATTTCATTTCATGTTCCTTGAAACTAATGGAATAAATATTCTTAAACAAGCTTCAAGGTATTAAGCCTCAAATTTTCCAAGTTATTTTCTGATTAAATTCTGATAAAGATAGATAGATAGATAGATAGATAGATAGATAGATAGATAGATAGATAGATAGATAGATAGATAGATAGGCAGTGCTGTGCCTGCTTCACCAGTGTCTTGTTGTTTAGCCACCAAGCCAGCCTACTTGTTAACTGCAAACCTAGGAATTTGATGCTGGTAACCATATCCACAGGTGAATCATTAATGCACAGAGGAGTATGGCTGTGCCTGCCTTTTCTGAAATAGATAATGATCTCTTTGGTTTTTTCAATGTTTAAAATTAGGCTGTTTTCCTTACACCAGTTCACAAACCCTCAATCTCCTTGCGGTAAGCTTCTACCTTGTCATCCTGAATAAGGCCCACTACTGTTATATTTTCCACAAACTTCACCATAAAGTTGGTGGCAAACCTAGCACAACAGTCATGGGTCAACAGAGTTTAAATTTAAATAGGAATTGATAACTAAAATAATAAAATTTAGGAAATGTACATCTATGAATAAAAGTGGATTTATGTTATGTAAAGGGTTGGGAAATGAAAAAGAGTAGTTGCTTTTAAATATAATGTACAGTAAAAGATGTATTTGTAGATGTACTAGCAATACCAGTCAAGGAGTAAAACTTGATCTTGGATTTTAATTTAAACTGAATTGTAGCTAACATAAAACAAATGGTTAGTATTTTTTATGGTTCCTTTAATTATTTTTTATTATTTTATGCAAAGCCTTTGAACAGTCAGTGTGTATTTTTTCCCAGTTTACTCATTTCTTTTAACACTTCCTATCCATTGGACAGATTTTTGTAAATTGTACTTTTCTAAATTCTTAATAATGTGCACAACCTCAAATAGATATTTTCATGATAGATTTTCATTACAGAGAGTTTCCAGCAAAAGAAACAGCTGGAATTTGGAATTCTTATGGAAGATTTGACAAGAAGAACTATCTAGAGAAGATCTTATAAATTAGGGTAAAACAATCAACCATATAGCACACACTTACATTACGTTGTAAAATTTCAAGAAAATATAGGTATAATAGGTATAATGAATAAATGTAATTGGATGTACTGTAGAAGCAAAAGAATGATAATCTTTTGTTAATTTGCTGAAATTTGCAGTATATTTTCAGTTCACATTCATAGATTAAGAAAATGATGTCTAAATAGCTGGATTTTAGGGGGAAGTGCTCTAAAATAAAAAAAAATGCAAAACAAAACAAAGACACGTTGTAGAAAAAATAGAGAAATGTACTGAAATGAAATGTTCACATTATATGATTTTTTAAAAATAATTACATTAATGTAGAAAAGGATGAAATGAATATAAGTTTTAAAAGGTACAAAAAGTGAAGAAAAATTTGACAAATTAGTCCCATTTTACCATCTTATTTGGATAGTCATTGTCACATTTTGAAAGCATGCAGTTATGCTTATAGCTAAAGTGGACATTTCATTAGGATACAGTACTTAACAAAATTTATTTTTTCTTTTTCTCACATAAAATAAGTACAGCTAAAATTTAAAACATGGTATAAATCTAGTAAGCATAGATTTGTGTGTTAATATATGGGAAATGTTTTCAAATAAACATTAATACAACATTTTATGACATTCCCAAGTTCTAGATTTTTATTCAAGTTCTTTTGACAGGAAAATGCTCTGATACCAATGAGAGAAGAAAATGGCTCAAGAGTGAAGGAATTTATCCTTCTGGGTTTTCCTGGATCTTGTGAACTCCAGATCTCGCTTTTTATATTTTTTTTCTTCATGTATCTCCTTACAATCATTGGAAATGTATCTATCATAGTTTTAGTAAAGAACGTTCAGAGGCTTCATACACCCATGTACTTCTTCCTCTGCAATCTTTCATTCCTGGAAATATGGTACACATCAGCCTGTATTCCTAAGATGTTGTCAATCCTTGTTGCTCAGAACCAAGCCATCTCATTCATAGGATGCCTCACACAAATGTACATTGTTTTCTCCCTGGGATGTACAGAATATTTCTTGTTGGCTGCCATGGCTTATGATCGCTATTTAGCCATCTGTCACCCCTTACACTATAATATCATCATGTCTAGAACTCTTTCTGTACAAATGGCATTTGGCTGTTGGACATGTGGTTTCTTAATTATTTTGTTTCCAGCATTCTTTATATCTCGATTGTCTTTCTGTAACTCCAATGTCATCAACCATTTCTTTTGTGACATTGACCCTTGGATAGTCCTCTCTTGCACAAGCACTTATACAGTAGAAATGGTCTGTCTTATTCTTTTTGCAATTGTCATTGTGGGATCCTGCATGATTACCTTGATTTCCTATATTTATATCATTGCTACGATCTTAAGGATTGCATCAGTTCAAGGACGTCAACGAGCTTTCTCCACTTGCTCTTCCCACCTCACAGTGGTGATTATATGGTATGGTGCTACCATTTTCCTTCATGTCATACCTTCCAAAGAGCAGTCAAAAGAACTGACAAAAATAATTACTGTTTTGAATACAGTTGTCACCCCCTTGTTAAATCCTTTCATTTATACACTCAGAAATGCAGAAGTGCAAGAAGCATTGAGGACTGTACTTAGGGCCTCAGCAATAAATTTAAGTAATAGATAAAATATGGTTACAAATTAGCTTCACAACACCCATAAAGGTAACATTGCATTGAGTCCTTACAGTGATATGTCAACAAATAGAAATTAATTATTTGCAAACTTATGGAATGTTCTGCAAGATATCCCATGGGCCTTTCATCTAAGTTCTAATCATGATTAAATAAATGAAAATGGAAGACATTTCTAAACACGTGCAACATTTTTTTCACTAGATATAGAAAAAGGAATTACAAAAGTTCTTGACAGTAGGTATGTTATTTTTAAGAAGGGAACAAAATTATTACAAATTTACTCTCCTCAATGAATCAACACTTATTAAAGATTTTGCCTTTAGTTCGATTTAATGCACAATATGAAAGTATTTGGAGACTCCTAAAACTCTCTGAATAAATTATATCCAAGAACCAAATATTTAATGAAAAATAATTATAACAAGCTGCTGTTTATAGGCTTGTTAGTAACTGATACAGATTATTTTCTTCTAAATAAATTATATTCTCTAATTACAGCCAGAATATAAGCAAGATATGAGACTTCCAGTAGAATGGCTTCACTGAAAGCTTATACTCCCTTCCTCATACATATCACAGCTGGAGAATTAATAGATCAACATAGAATGCCTTATTCCAAATGTATCATTACCTCTAGTATACAGTGTGTTTTGTTAATAGGAAAGCAAAATATGACATTTCAAATGGATGAGCCCCAACTCAAGACTATGTTTTCCATAGTCTTACATTACTATTCTTTCTCTCTCTGATTCTGAAAATAAAATGGAGAATGAGGGTAACAAAATTTTTGAAATATAAGTTAGAATGGTAAGAAAATACTTAATGAGATATTGTCATTTTATTATTTTTTTAATTAAATGAACGGATGGTATATATTGTCACCTGATATTTCTGTTAAATGGATGAACAGATACAAAACACAGGGAACTATTTTCTACAGATTCTAGTACATGAAACATTTTGTCCTTTTTTTTTTTGCAATTAGTTAGACTATAAAAATTAAAGATTTCTTGATTACCAAATTCTAAAACAATGTGCTATCCTTTTCCTAAAGTACCACTTCTCTGTATAACATAATAACAGAGTTGGAAGGAATTTGGAGGCCTTTTAGTCCAACCTCCTACTCAGGAAACCTTATACCATTTCAGACAAATACTTATCCAATGTCCTCTTTAAAACATCCAATGTTGGGGCATTCACAACCTCTGAAGACAAGTCACTCCACTTGTTAATTGTTCTCACTATCAGAAATTTCTCCTTACTTCTAGGCTGGTTCTTTCCTTGATTAGTTTCCATCCATTGCTTCTTGTCCTGCCTTCAGGTGCTTTGGAGAATAGGCCGATCCTCTCTTCTTTGTGGCAGCCCCTCAAATATTGGAACATTATGCATATGCAGTGTTTATGTGTGTATGTGCATGTTTGGGAGGGAACCTATTTTTTAAATCATGCTGTACTGTTTGTCAAATGCTTCTAACTACTTGGAAGGATTTTATTTTAATAATTCTATAGTTTTAAAAAATGAGCTGTTCTTTTTTTTTAAAGTACTTAAAGTGATATTCCTGTCAAATTTAAATACTTTTCTTCAGAATAAACTCCATAATATTTTATGTGTGCCTAGCTACCCAAAGGGATCCTATAAAAGAGGAAGAGAAGTGTTTAATATGCCTATTTAAAGAATGAAGCCAAGCAGATTTACTGCATAAAACTAAGGAGATATTTTAATAATAATATTATGGTGCCACAGAAATCTTTGCTGAAAAAATACAGTGAGAAGATTGATTGAATGAATATCCTTTGTTCATCATAAGGGATTGTTCTGCAGGCAAATATTATAAAGCTCAAACAAGAAAACCAATGCATCTATCTAAGTGGGATTTCTTGAACCTTGTCAACTATGGATCTCTTTTTCATGCCTCTTCTGTTTTAATGTGATCTTTTTGGTGCATTTATCTAGGTATTTCTTCCTCTGAAATCTTTCTGTCCTGTAAAGATGACAAACAATAGCCCAAATTCCCAAAATGTAAACAATCCCTTTGTCCAAACATGAAACCATTTCTATTCTATATTGTATCACAAGGATATACATTGTTTTATTCTTAGGAATATTTGCTCTTATTCTTCTGTTAACTATTATACTGTACATGTATTACATTTAGAATTTTCAGATTTGGATATGTGGCTTCTTGGCTATTTCTCTGACATCCTTATTAATCAACTATCTTTCTGGAATTCTAATGTGATTAACCTCCTTTTGTGATATTGTGTCTTGGGTTGATTAACTGATTAATTGGATTTAGAGGCTCTCTGACTCCAAAATAACCACAGATCGTTTATCTAAATATGAGAATAATATAAGGAAGGAATAAAAAAAGAAATCCTATTTGTCTGGACCAATATACACTTCCTCAAACAAACAAACAAATCACCAATGTGCTCCTGAAAGAAGAGCCATTTTAAAATAAAAATCTAGAACATCATCAGGTGGGGACAACACAGATATCTCAGGGTGGTACTGATCATTCCAAAGAGCAAATGCTGTGACATAAAAGGAGCATTTCCTGGGTCTTGACAGGTGGTAATGTTTGCACTTATATATTTGTTTAGCAGGTCATTTCACAAATGTCACAAAATGTGAGTCTAGATGATATATAAGCACAACAACAATTAAAGAAATATAGCAATCCAAAGCACTTAAACATGAATAAAAATAAACATTGAAGCTTGCAAAGCAATAGCTATCACCTAACATCATACTACCACCTGACATTTAACACAGAACTGACTGATCGATTTCTTTGGTCAGCCCTTCCATGTTTTCACAGAGGACCTTCAAGGTTTTCTGTCATCACTTTATGGCATTCTGATCCAGTTTCCTGCATGTATCCTCTTTCATTCTTTTCTCTCACAAATATTCTAATGTTTAATTCATATGGCTGTTATATTAATATTACATATACTTTCTTTGCATAGTTATAGGGGTAAAATAAAAAGCAGTGCAGAAGTGTATTAACAAGAATGAAAAAACAAAATGTAGGCTCTTCATACAAATTATTATATTTAATATATTATTGTATTTAACAATAGGAATGATATATTGTGAAAATGTAAAATAATGTTAAGTTGTAAAAATAAATATAATTAAAAAACAAATTACTTGTAAGATCAGTTCAACCATTTTTATACAATTATTGTACAATTTTTGGTGGCACAAGAATTTCGTCCCTAAACTGTCTTCACTTTGGCAATGCAGGAAGTAGTTATAAGGACGGATACCCTACTCACAACCCATGTGAAAGACACATTTAATTCTGATAAAAGATGTAATTTTAAACATGTTTTTAAAAAATCATCCACTCTAAAACTGTAGCAGTAGTATCATCCCTATCATGGCCACTAATTGTTATATCACTTGGGGATGGGGAAAATTATAATTGTTTTTCAATATTGTCCTTCCTTCCTTCCTTCCTTCCTTCCTTCCTTCCTTCCTTCCTTCCTTCCTTCCTTCCTTCCTTCCTTCCTTCTTCTTCTTCTTTCTTTCTCACATGGGAAAAAGCAATATTTCTCAAGAAATATTCTGTAGTGAAATATTTGGGAATAATATACTGCAATAATTATGAAAAATAACTGCATTGATGTATCTTCAGGGAACCATCACTTCTTCTCAGGAATGTCTTTGAGATTACTATTATATAAAATATGAATGATGAAAAACAGAGTGTTCTTTGAACTGACCTTGAGATGCCACCAGATGCCACCACATTAAGGACACCTTTAGTTCTGACATAAGGTTAAAGCACAGTACTTTAGTCTATATAAATATTAGTATCTGTGTGAGTGTGCACCCTTAAGAGTGTCCAATGTAATAATATATTTTGCCACATAAGAAGATGAAATTTGTTCAATAGATTTCTGTAGTATGTTCAAGTTAGGGATCATTATTTTTAAAATATACAACTCTTCATGAGTTTTAGAGAGGCAGAATTGGAAGTGGAAACTCAAAGAAAGGGCAAAAGGACAAAAGCTTACTATTTTTAGCCACATCCTTAAAGGAGACTTTAAATGACACTCTCTCTGCTTCCAGTTTTCCATAAATTCAGTAGTATAATAGGGGAAAAGTAGGAGGATACATTTACCATTAAGCAAAGCCAATGTACAGAAAGGGGAGAAATACTATTTATGTCTCTAAAATCTTGATGGCAAGTCACATATAGTGTGCTTGTCAGGACTAATTTCTTATGAGAAGACTAGTTGTTTCAGAAGAATTCCACTCAACTGGTCTACCATGCCTAATGAAATTATATCCACTGCAAAATCCTAGGCACACCTACTCAAAAATAAATCTTATATTATTCAGTGGATCATATTAACAGGTAAATGTAGAGAGTCAAACTGCATTAAAATAGTGTGTGCTTTAGCAAAAGTTACAAATTTGTGGTCAGAATATGTCCACATCTATAACCCAGGTCATCTTTTTAAAAACTATCAATGTTTGTTACATTGGAAAACCAAAACTAAAGACATACCTAGCTTGTTTGTAAATATAAGTTTTGAAATGAGAGTGAAATATTTTATATTACACAATGCTTTACATGCTATTGAAAAGCTTGAAATGCAATGCATTGTTATGATATTTAGTCATAATATAAATAATAGCAGTAGTAATATGCTGTAGTAATGGATTCTTGTAATGGACTGAAGTGCTCAAAAGATAAACTGAAAGTCTCTTCTAAATATATTTATATATTTACAGAATATATTTCATATCATGATCGTTATTATTATATTTTATGCTTCCAAATATCATAGAATACTATAATCTTTATTTTACAAGCCACATATGATTGCATTATAAATATGTGCATTAACTTATAGCCAGAAGTAAAACTGAACCAAAGCTGATAGTTTAGGAAATTCTCTCCTGGCTTAGATCTAAATCTATTATTTGGAAGTATTATTTACATTTATTAAATTGCGTTTTTATTTGATTCCTGAGCTAAGGCTTAAAGGTTGTTTGTTATTTAATATGCTTCATAATATTAAAGACTTAAGAGCATATGACATCAATCAACCTTACACTGAAAATCCAATCCTGTTTAAAATATTCTCTTTTTTTTTACCCTCCCAAACCAAGTACACAGTCTGTAACTTCCACTCTCCAGTAAAAAAAGGAAAAATAACTTTGCCATGTCCTGAAATGTGCAATTGAGCATCATAAGCTAATGGTGTGCATTGTTAATTAACAAATGAAGAAACTCTTATATCTTCACAGATGCAGAATATCAATAAAAGTTGCATTATGTTAAGAAAAAATATAAAAGTCACTTTAGTATGGAGAAACTATACAGAAGATAGATGTTTTATAATTTTATATCAATAACAGATTGATAAAATCACATATAGAAAGAAAATCAAAGTCAGAGCAATTCATCTTCCTTTTAATATGCCATGGTAGTGGTCAATGACAATGTTTCAGAAATGTATTACTTGAAGTTTTAAGACAGTCTTCTACATTTTTTTTCTGTGAGACAGCAAAAAAAGGAGGAGGAATTGGTATGACCAAATTGGAATTTTATTTTTAAAATTTTCCAGTGTTTCTATTGATAACTTCTCAAATAAACTGGTACACTTGACCTAATGTCATACATGTATCCCTCCCCCACTAACAGCTTTGGCTGCATTTTCAATATGCATTTTTACTGCAGTTAAATTGTAGTTTATGTTAAAATTGGCTATATTTGATGAAATTAGTGGATTTATTGATTTGACCTAAAATAATTTATATACTAGTTTATTTTGCTGATTTCTCAAATGCATTTACTTTCATGAACCATTTTTATTATGATAATGTAAAATATGCTTAGCTCTTTTTATATTATTATTAACAGTGAAAACAGTGATGAACATATTGGAGAATGCAGAACCACACTTCTCACACTAAATTCATTATTATGGGTTTTCCTGAACTTCCAGCGCATCAGCTAACATTGTTTGCAATATTTGCCACCATCTACCTTCTGACTTTAGTGGAAAATGTCCTCCTGATTTTGACCATAAGTTTGAGCCGGCAGCTTCGCACTCCCATGTACTTTTTCTTAGGAAATCTTTCTGTTTTGGAAATCTTCTATGTCTCAGTAACAATGCCCAAGTTATTCTCCATCCTGTTGTCAAGAGAGAACACAATTGCTTTCCAAGACTGCCTCGTTCAGATGTACTTTTTTCTCTCTTTGGCATCTTCTGAATGTTTTCTCTTGGCAGCAATGGCCTATGATAGATATTTGGCAATTTGCTATCCACTTCATTATACTTCCCTTATGAACCACAGAACCTGTGTTTTCCTGACTATGGTTTCCTGGCTTAGTGGTTTCCTAGCTTCCATTCCATCTGCGGTAATGATCTCCAGGTTGCAGTTCTGCCATGAAAATACCATTGGACACTTTTTCTGTGACATCTCACCTTTACTGAAGTTGTCTTGCACAGACACTTCAACCATCGAGATTCTGGATTTTGTGGCAGCACTAGCTGTCCTTATAACATCAGTTGTGGTGACTGGGACATCTTACATATGTATTTTCTATACAGTTGCAAAACTTCCTTCCAGAAAAGATAAAAGCAAAGCTTTTTCCACATGTGTCTCTCACCTAACAGTTGTTTCTATGTTCTATGCCACTACCATATTCATGTATGCCCGACCCCGGGCCATTGGAACATTTGACTTGAACAAACCAGTGTCCATCCTCTACTCAGTGGTAGTTCCATTTCTCAACCCAATTATTTACAGTCTCAGGAACAGAGAAGTAAGAAAGAATTTGAGCATTGCTATATGTCAGGTAGTCACCTTCTCGGGATGTTTTCTAATGAAAAGATTAAAGCCATTGTTAAGCTGATATGTGTCATAACTGAAGATCTATTGCAACAAGTATTCCTTTCACTGTCACAAAAATTGATTTATCAACTTGTATAGTTGCAAATATTTACAATCTGAACAGTTTGTTTTGCTACAACAGATGCATGTCATTTTTCAACTGAAAAGGTGATTTGAATATTTTCTTTTTTATGGTATATTACAAAAAGTTTGGAAAACAGGAAGAAAACCTGAAGACTAGATAATAGCCTTCCTCCTGCCCCTCCCCCTAGGTCATTCCCACACACCAACAGATTTTTAAAGCATTTCATACACCTTGCTTTTCTGTAGGCTCAGATATAAGAAATAATAAATCTGTTATAAAGTGCTCTTATATTATTGGACTATTCATTACTAACTGGGCTGAAGATTTTACTGAATTCCAACACTCAGAATACATATCTCATTAGGCCAGTTAGAGACACAACTTCTCACTTTATGCTAGATGGTTAAAGAAAGTTAGAGAAATAGTTTATTTATACATATTCCTTTGTTTGACTTGACTATTGTCACAGAACATATTTTGTATTGATAACTTATATTTGATATTTCTAACACTGTCTATCTCACATTGTTCTGATAATGTTTTAAATAATATTCTAAAAAATCAGAAGACTACAAGAGGAACACAATTTATTTTCCATGCCATAGTCTAATTGCTAATCTTAATGCAAAGCCACACTGTTGCAAGGAAGAGTTGATACCATTTAACTGAATTATGCAAACCTCTTTCAAAAAATTATTAGAGCAATAGGATATTATTATTCATTGAGCTATATAAAATAGCTGCATAAATTTAAATTTTGAATAGAGAACTGACTTGCAACAAGTTTTCAAAGCTAATCCATACCACTTAAAAAAAAAAACTTTGTCATGAAAAAATTAGCATACCATTTAGAAAAATAAGGCTTTGTTCAGAAGCCCCAACAAATTACAGAACTTTTTTTACCAGGATTTCCTGAGAGAGCTAGTTTTATGTAGCAGTTAAGATGTTAGGCTAGAAACGGAGAGCTGGTGAGTTCTGGTCCTCCTTAGTTACAAAGCCAGCTGGGTGACTATGGGCTAGTCACTTTCTCTCAGCCCTAGGAAAAAGACAATGTAACTTCAGGAACTTGCCAGGCAGACACCAGGAATCAACACTGAAGGCACAAAATAAATACATAAATAAATACGTAAATCTGAAGTTCTGTTGCTTCTAAAATATTGTGATTTAATGCTTCTGTAGTTGAAATTTTACATATAAATTTGTGAAATAAAATCAAATTCATGTGGATTTGGTTACTTTTCTTTTTGTTTTGACTATCTACTTTATGGAATAGCCTGGGCATGATACTCAAAAGGCAAGAAGACTTCTCACCCCATTAAAAAGTAATGTGGTAAGTGATGTTACTAAAGTCAGCCCCATGTGGATATTGAAACTAGGAAAAAGAAGTCATTTGGTTTGAGCTGAATTTATAATATTCAAACTTTTGTACTGTGTAGTTTGTATGATTCGGAAAGCTTAACATTGCATAATTTTGGAGAGAAGCAAATTGAACTAAGTCAAGTTTGTTTTTACCAGAAATATCAAAAAGAAATCAATAGAATCCTTAATGGGTTTTAATATCTATGATGAATCCTATCTTAAACTGCAAACCTCTTTTGACATTTAAAGACATTTTAATGGAATGAGATGTACCACTGTTACCTTAGTCTGTTGGATTAATCCATTCTTTGTTCAAGAGAAAACCTCTATTACCATCTCGTGGGGCCATCAACCATCTCAAATGCTTAATGCAGATAATAGACTTAATGATGATTTGTTCACTGAATGAAGGTCCTTACAACCATGCCTAAAGTTATGACCATTGCAGCAATTTGGACTAGAAGGATTCCAGAACATCATGAGAATGAAACCTGCTCTCATGGTGCTTGGAAGCTTCTTCTCCAAATTGGAGAAGAAGTCTTTTGAAGGATCATGACAATTATTTGGAGAATGGCACGAGGTAGTCTCAGTCAGAAGGACTCATTTTGCATTGGATGGGTGTGCCTGTCAGCAGTTGGATAAAAAATGTTGAAGTTAAGTGGGTGTTTTATTTGCATTGGGCCAGGTGGGCAGCTGAAGCTTCCATGATTAACTTTATACCTCACTGCAGTAGCCCTCTAACTCAAGTATGGCCTGAACCAGGCTTCTCCTGTGCTCCTTATTGAGCACATTAGAATAGTGAAATAATACAGTAATAGATGGTTTCATCACAAAATCACAGAAATAATCTAAAATATAATATCAGACTAACTGAAAAAAACATTTCATTTTTTTTTTTAAATTATCTACTTTTTGGGTGTTCTTCAAGGAGGAGCTCCTTGTGTATGGTGAGAGAGGGAAGAATGATGAAAGTAGAGTTCCCCTATTGTGACATGACCTTTGCCATTTTTATATACTTAATGACAGTTTGGCATTGCCCTTGATCCTGCAGATCCTGCCTAGTTAAAGAACATTCCCATTGATTATGTGTTATAATATCTAAACAAAAGGTAGTCAACACATGGATAATGACCAGTTCAAAACTCTCCAAGAAGGGACATACTTGATATATCACATACATTCAGTATGCATAGCCAGTTTAGTGTAGTGGTTAGAGACTATGAGTTCTGTTTTAGGCATGAAAACTGGCTGGGCGGCTTTGGGTCAGTCTCTCTTTCTTAGTCCAAACCACCTCACAGGGTAATTGCTGTGGGGCAAAAAGAGAAAAAGTGTATTATGTCCTGAGTTAGATATAAAAATAATAAAGGTGGAATGACTGACTGACTGACTGACTGACTGACTGACTGACTGAATGAATGAATGAATGAATGAATAATATGACAATACTTGCCTTACCAATAACCTCACAATGCAAGGACAATAAAAGTAAAATATCTAACCCAAATGGGATTATTTATGGAGGGAGGCATTTTATCACTATTAACAGGTGAAAAAAATGTAACCCAACATATTAAATTGTGACTGTAGCATTTGGATTCTTTCTGTACATCTTTATAAATCACTTTGGACACTTATGTGATTAGTATGATCAATTATCCTGGTAGCATATATAATATAATTGAATACAGCAGGTTGGGCCAAATAATCTAGGCCGAACAGGGCAGCTCAGAAAAATAAATATGATTGAGACCACATTTTTTGCCAGGTATTCCTAATATATTTTAGATTTATATTTCAGAAAGCAGAGGATCTGAGCAGATTGATTATTTAGAACAGTGATTCTAGCTGACTTATCAAATCACTAGTGTAAATGAACCCAATTGGCTGCATTCCTAAGTATCAAAAAATGCAAAAACAGACCAACTGGTTTGATCACAGACACAAAAACAAAGGAACACTTTTTTAAAAGGAGAATGTTGACAGAATAACCCTCAAATCCAGAAGAAAGCAAAGCTTTTTTTAAAAAGGGGGGGGCGGACATTCAAAAGCTAGCAGCCTATGATATTCACATTTATTTGCTTTAAAAGTAGAAGAGATCTGTGTTAGTAAGTAAGCTTATTTATCTTTTATAAGAACAACTTTTAAAACATTATGTAATAATCTCTTTAAAAGTTATTCTGTTGTTCAGTTATGTTTCATTCACTGAGTGTGTATGTGTGTTTGTGTACAGACACTTTTTTCTTATTCCAATATTACTGTTGGAATACAAATTTCTATTTGTTGTGAAGGAGATCTACTGTTTTGAATATAATTTTTGAATGACAGAGAAGTTATCTTCCTCATCTTCATTATCACCAATTTAAAATACAATGTCCTTTCCTACTATATCTACTTTACCAACAACTAGATTGCCTCTTCTTCCTAACATTTGAACAGATTCATGAATATATTTGTACAATATGTATTACTATAAATATATTTTCATTTCAAGACCAGATTCTCAAAATTCTAGTCTCTGGTTTGTATTCAAATCTAGTCACATTTGGCAAGAGATATTTTATTTAGCTATTAAAAGGGATATAATCTAGAGTGGTCAGTTCAATGTATTACAGTCATACACAATTCATCACTTCTTTCTTGAAAATTATAGGCATAATTACAGATAATACTTTCAGGTATCAGTGAGTTATGTAAATTTGAAAGTAGGCTGACATATATTTTTTAAAAATCTCAGACTCTAAAAGAAAATGTGTGATATTATCTTGCATATTTTACATCAACTCTCACTGATTAAAAACTTAAAATGTGGCTTCATTCATGCAGGTGAGAGACACAGCCCAATTCATTTGGAATTATCATATCTCTCATATCTACCCCCAATTTAGACTACAGTGTTATTGACATTGTGATTCCAGATTTTCTGCCATGTCTTCCATTGAGGATAAAAGATAGATTGGAAAGAGAAGGAGAAGGCAACTATATTTGTTTTACATTCTGAATCACTATTTATTGTTGTGAAATGCCTTGGAAGCATGTTTATGAATATATACCAGGTATGGGATAAAAAATGAAGCATGTTAATTATTTTTTTCTTCAAAAGATAATTCTGGCAATATCTTATTTGGAGTGAGGCCAAGCTGTAACAGGACACATTCTCATAAAAAGCAGCAGGAAGGCTTCATGGCCTTTGAAATTTTATACTTATTGATTCCATGTTTGGCCATGCAGACAAAATTGTTGCTCAGAAGTGTGGTGTGAGTAAATTAATTGCACATAACTCAAACATATGAGCACTGAAACTGAAATCGCACATGTAAAAAAAGTGATTGATCACTTCTCTAATCATTTCTTTGACATGGAGATATCTTAAAATAATACAAAAGCAATATCTATAGTTATTGCACTTTGTTTCATAGCAATATGCTTTGAATTGCAAGGAACTAAACTTTAGCAATTAGTCACACAGGGACAGCTGTCAGAGTGTTAATGTGATCAACCTTCCCACATGAATTTCTTGTAAATGGTTTGTTCTCTAATAAATCCTTGTGAGGTTTGCACACCAGGTTATAGTGATGAATCCCAATGTGACCAATTCAGCTTTGTTTTGTGGTTTAGAAACTTGGAGCTTTTCAGTAATCTCCCAAGACTGGCAATTAATGGAGGGAATAAAGTTTCGGGAACTCTAACAGGGCCTTTAGGGAACTGTTAACAAAGCAACTTTCTCTTAGGGCAAAATGTAACTTTTTGAATGACAAACCATTTCAATGTACCTTGAAAATAAATATTAAAAATGGCACTAAAAAATTAAATAAGGAATTGTATCTTTAAAAATAAAAAAAGAAACAAAAATTGTTATCTATATGTATTTAATATCTATTTTGGTACAGTGATAGCTTGTTTAGAAATTCTACACTGCAACTTAACAATTAAAGGACTAGCAAATTATGAATCACAATGATTTTTCCTCTTTTATTCCTGATCCACAACAAAAACAATATGTTCTTCAGGTTTTACATGTGGCCAAAATTAAATCTGGAGAAAACCAAACATGACCCTGTGGTCTTGAATATATGTGTCCTGTATCCATTTCTCTGTGAATGTAGTTTGGTCTGGACTTTCTCTGTTTGAATAAAAAATGTCAGCAAGGTTTGTATCTGATATAAGGCCACCAAAAATACTAGATGGAGGCAGATTAAATTTAACAACTTCCATTTAGCATTTCTGCCAGCTTCAGATCATATAGAAAAGTGAGCTTTGCTGATATGTGTAAATCTTCAGATACCACAAAGTCAGCCAACAGAATGGACACAGAGCACACATATTAAGACCATGGGTTTCTTACCATTTTACATAATAGGAAGGGAGTTACTACCTTATCCACAAAATTCTCTTTAAAGATAACTTCAGATGCTAAATGCAAGAATTATTGATAGGGCTGTGCAGAGACTGGAGATCAGTACTGGAAACAACACAAATGATTATATATTGTGCAGTTAGTAAAGAACTGCAAATAATTTTCATTTAGAGATATGAAACATGTTTATTGCTGGATCTTTCCTTCCTACCTTGCAGAAAGTGAGAAGGCCTAATTACGCGTAGGTGTCCTGGCCCTTTTTAATATGACATTTTAAGATTTGCTCAAATTTATCTAGAGGAAGTCCATACAGACACATTCTACCTGAAACCTTTTATAAGCCTTCCTGCAATCCATCAGCACCTCACTATTGTACTTGGGCTTATTGATTTCAAATTTGAAGAGTAAAGCTTGGTTATTTATGGATGTGAAGATATTTTTTCTGCCTGCCAACCTATATGTAACAGCCACTTCAGACAACAAGATAGATGCCATTTCCAATGCTGAAATGTGG